GGGGTTTTGAATACAAATATATATATATATATATATATATATATATATATATATATATATAAACTAGACGAACTTTATGGTTGTACGTCAGTGAAGCGTCAGTGCCAACACTGATGTTGCTGTCTTTGATGATGACGATGATGATGATGAATTGATGGTGTCCCGGCGAAACTCAGTCTCTCATAACAGGTTGGTCAATCGTTAGAGGTCTGACAAAAAGTATCCTGGGGGTTGGAACATTTGGCGACTTGTTCCGTAGAAATGGTAATGCATTTGCGCTTCCCGCCAAACAGCGCTGCCTTGCAGCTAGGCTTTTGAGCCAAAGGCCTTGGTTGAGGACCCTAATTGTCCTCCTGTATAAGTTTGAGTGCCCTGGTGGTATCCCAGTTCACGTACAACCATGTCACCTATAACAATACTCCCATGCTACATCGGCCGTCGAATTATGCCATCAGTCGAGTCGCCTTACTGGCTGCATAGAACAGAACGGATGAGCGAAAACAGGCTACTGCTGATGCCTCCCTTCTTTATCTTTCACGAACTTCTTCCCCCACCCTCCCCACTCCACTAATAACTCTCTCCTTGTAGGCCCAGTACTAGGGACTGATTACTCGGTTCGTCTTGCATCGGTTTTGAGTGCAACATCTGCTCGTCACATGGCGCCGACATCCTCAGGTATCTCCAAATCAATCTTCAAGCGTCGACACCCAGTCTATCTGCCCGCTTTCAATACCCGCACTCTAAAGCAAGTGGAACAAGACGCTGATTTTGCTCTCACACTGGAATTGCTTGGAATTGTGTGCTGTCTCAGAAACAAGAATTCAAGATGCAAGCACAGTGATTGAGCTAACCGCCCCGCCACTCAACATTCACCCCCGCCTACGCACCTCTGGTGATGCAGAGGCTGCTGGGCCGGGATATGCAGGGTTGGTATCGTCCTAAGGGATGGAAGTATCCTTGCTTGACTGGATACCTGTTGACAATCGCCTCCGTGCGGTTCGTCTGGCAACGTCTGTGAAGGAGTCTCACAAGCGGGGAGTTGATATATATATATATATATATATATATATATATATATATCGTGTGTGTATATGCCCCCCACT